GAGGATCATCACTAATTCCCTCATTTCATGGAAGAGAAAACCGAGGTTCAGAGAGGTTCTGGGACCTGCCCAGGGTCAAACAAGGGTGGAAATCGCAGAGCCAGGAGGAAGCTCTGGGTGCCAGACTCCAAATCTCATTTGCTTATGCCTCAGCTGACATGGGAAGCAATGTTTTAAGATGCAAAATAGGTTAAGTTGCTGCGAATAATGCAAATGCTAAGAAAGCAATCCCTTGAAAACACACGAGTCAGTTGTCTTATTAATTAGACAATCTCTCCAGCATTCAGGGCCCAACCCTCAGGTCTCCTTTACTGAGAAGCCCCGGCTGCCTCCCTTTCCCACAAGCAGAGGCCTTTGTTACCCTAGAAGGGATCACTCATCAGACTGGGTCTCCATTATTGGTGTTTTTGCAGTGAGTTCTTCAAGGGCTAGCAAGTCCCTGAATTAGAGTCAGGGATGTGGGGGTATGAGAGGAAGAACTGGCCCAGGTGTCATTGCTGTGGCAACTGCTACTTGACTTAGCCTCTGATTCAATGTCTCAGCAGGTGAGCAAACAGGAAGAAGCCAGGATGACTCAGCCATCCCTCCAGGGATGAATGGGAGGCCATGAAGGGAGAGGCAGGAGCCAGCCTTGGGTGGTGTGCACTTCTGTGAAGGGCCCGTCTTCCCTGAAAGCTCAGGGTTCCTGAAATGCACCACCAAGTGTTCAGTGATTCTGGTCTGACCAGCAGTGCTTTCCAGTTAGGGCCAGATTGTGTACAGCATGGCCCACTGTGTTTTTCCAACTGCCCAGCTCAACCCCTTGGCAGGTGACAAAATCACTTAATGCCACAGCTTCATTTTTTATTAATAAGATAGGAGAGAAGAGAAGAGAGGACGAAGGGGAAGGGAAGAGAAAGTAATGAGAGTGCATCACACATACTGGATCATGGGAAAAGGCATGAAGTATCTTTCTACATTTTTCTAGGCAAACATGCTTCATGACTGTTCAACAACCTAGTAGTAAGGGTCAGTGTTATTTTCTATGGATTTTTTTTCTTCATGAAAAGTGTGGGGGGTGGTGTACTGGGCTGTGATATAAAATATATTCTTATTCTGAGTCACAGTCAGAAATGTTTGGGGAAAAAATGGGCGGAGAGCAATCTTAGGGGACAAAATGCACTTGATCAGTTTCCTGACTGTAGGAACATTAAAGTCGAATGGTCGTTGGTATTAGTCATCTGTTACACATTATTCATCAAAAAAAAATATCTTCTAGGGCTGGCTTCCTGATTGTCTCAGCCTCTGTGAGGCATAAAGGTAAGCCGTTTAGGAAAAGGGGACCAGCTGAGGGTGCAACAGTAAAAACAATATCCTGCAGGGCTGACCCACATGGGAAGGTTCGGGATTCCCTGAGTACGCCGGGCGTGCGTGTGCCCATTGATCTGGGGCTGGCTAAGGCTGGGGGTAGATTGTGGCGTCAAGACGCTGTTCGGGGTACTACTTCTCTGTCTCTCTCCCTCACTCTCTGTTTCTCTTGCTCATGAAAAAAAACAGATACATAGATTTTTTTTTTTTAATTTCACTAGGAAATGAATGGTTCAGTGCGGCTGGAGCCATTAATTAGGCATAAGAGGGCTGGGGCGTATGTAACCATGGTCCCTTCTCCACAGGAGGGACGTTTTCTCTGCTGAGACTTTGCATAGTGTGTCCCCTCTCCCTGCAGTTGGATGAATCATCCTGAAGCCGTGTGTTCGTAGTTTATTGTTACCAACTTATTTTGTCTATGCCAATGCTGTCTGTTCAAAATAAACAACTTGAATATGTCCTCAGCTTCTTCTCCATCTCCAAAGTGCCCAGGAGGGTTGGAAACACAGCAGGCACTGAAAAAGCACTCCTATTAATGGCAGCTACTCATTCTTCATGTCCCTGATTAGATATCCCTTCATTCCTAATCTTCTACCGTAGAGCATTCCTCACATGGCTTTGTGGTTATGTGTGTAAGAAGTCGTTCTGCTAAACCTAGACTGGGAGCTTACTAAAGATGAGAGTTATGTGTCGTCTGTCCATCATTGTGTCCTCAGCTCCTGACGCACCATGGTGTCTGCCTTGGTCATTGTATCCTCAGTAATTGGCACTCAGTGGGGGTATCTGTTAGTTTTCACCATAACCATAGTGAGTAACAAGCAGCCCTGTTGCATCCTCAGCCCCTGACACAGCACAGTGTCTGCCTTGGTCATTGTAGCCCCAGTGATTGGCACTTGGTGGGTGTATCTGTTAGTGTTCACCATAATAGTAGTAAGTGACAAGCAGCACCACTATCTCGGTGGCATTTGCTTCTGTAGGTCAACAGGGCAGCTCTAAGCTCCAGGTCAGTTCTAGATCTGTTCTGTTTATTCTTCAGCCTCTTTAGAGCATCAGGTTAACCAGGGCATGTTTTCGCATGACAAAGGCAAAGACACAAGAGAGCACATTCAAATTTACAAATACTTTTCAGGCTTTTGATTCTACCGTGTACATTAACATATCTGTGACCAAAGTAAAACACTAGTCAAGCCCAACCAAGAAGCAAAGACGTACCTCTCCTAGGGAGGTTGGGATTGTGAAGGGAAGAGTGAATACTATTTAATAATCCACCCAAGTAAGTTTTCAGGTTCTTGCTCAATGTTTATGGAATGGAAAGGAAGGGAAGAAAATAATTGGATCTCAGGAACTTCCCAAGGGTATTCACCATATAAGTAACAAAGGCCCACGGGGACTCTTCTACCTCCTGACATATATCTCCACAGAGAAAGCCTAAAGCCTTGTCTAACAGATAACAACCCAGCCACCCAGAGTTAAATTTGTTGGGCAAATAAAGTAAGTCCTCTGAAGCTATTGCCAACACAGACAGTTCCTGCAGGGAGCCCAGGGAGCAGAGCTGCCTCTGGAAGGGAGAATAAGGGCTGTGACCACTTGATTCTCAAGAAGCACCTCTAAATGATAGAATTTCTGCCAGGTCTGCAGAAGGGATTCTGTTTCTGTGTCTTTTGGAAAAGTGCGTGTTCAGAGGAATGACCACATGTTTGTTCAAATTAGCAGGTCAGGGAGGTCAGCTACAACACAGTGCTCTCCATACCACCCCCACGTGGGAAGGTCCTGGGTTTGCATTCTGGGGCCTCCTTGTAGACGCCAGGAACGTGTGTGCGTGTGCCTGGGATCTGGGCTGACCATGGCTGGGGTGGATCACAGCAGGGGAACCCTGTTGGGTGCTCCCCGACCCCAGAAGAAATACATAAATAAACTCAAGGGAAAAAGCAGTAGATCAGGACTCTGAGGAGACCTTTAAAAATAACTGAACTCCATTTCTCACAGGAGCCCAGAGTGACAGTTCTCAGGCTGACTTTACAGTATTACAAAATCGCATGAAGTTTTGCACCCCTTCCTTGGTTAGCTGAGAAATAAGGCTCCTTTTCATTCTCTCTCTCTCTCTCTTCTGACTGCAGGGGTGCTGTGCCTGCCAGACAGCCTGAATCTTCACCGAGACCCCCAGCGGCCCAGCAAGCCGGGAGAGCTGCCCATGTTCAGCCAGTCGGAGTTGAGGACCATTGAACAGTCCTTGCTGGCTACCCGTGTGGGCAGCATCGCCGAACTGAGTAAGTGGACCCTGGCTCTTCAGCCTCAGGCCTCATGACATATGTTCCTTGTGTCTAAAGTGACACTTCATCCATCATGCCACGCGAGGTGCCAACGCTGACCCTCGGGGCACTGCTTGATAACCAGCCAAGTGACACCTTCGATTGAGTATCTGCCATGTACACAGGATAGTGCCGATGGATGTGGACAATGCAGACTCAAGAGTCAGGGAGTCTTGGTTCAGTCATGTAGGTCAGGTTCCTGATCTTTTCTGAGCCTCCATTTCTGTAAAACAGAGAAAATAGTAGTACCTGGCTCAGAGTGTCTTGGTGGTCATTTGATGAGCTGATACCCGTGAAAGGTTGCTGTGGTGCCTGGTACCCAGTAGGTGCTCTGTAAACAGTGGCTGTTCATGTTTTCCACAATGGGACCCATTCAAAGGATATGTCAGATCGTACCTCTCTGTTCAGAATCCTGCACTGGCCCCCATCTGACCCACGGGAGAAGCTGAAGTTCTGAGCTTGCTCACAGTCCTCCCGTATCCCACAGATCTCATCTTCCACTTCCCTCTGGCCCCTCCTAGCCCCTTGAACACAGCAAGCATATCTCAGGACCTTTGCACCTGATGTTCACTCAAGTGGAACCACTCTGCCTCCGGGTGTCCCTGAGACCCGCTCCCTCATTTCATTCTAGTCTTACCCAGAAGTTCCCTCAATGGGGCTTTTCCCGACTCCTCTGTTTAAAGTTAAAACATCCTGAGAATTCTTGTCTTAGCTTGGCTGCTAAAACAAAATGCCACAGACAAGATGGCTTAACAGGCAGGCGTTTCTTTCTTAGTCCTGGGAGCTGAGAATTCCAAGATCAAGGTAAAGATGGTTCAGTTCCTGACGAGGGCTCTGTTTCTGGCTTGCAGATGGCTGCCTGCTCACTGTGTTCTCACATTGCGGAGAGGGATCAGGGTTCCTAGGAGGAAAGAAATCTTCTTACAAGGCCACTATAAGACCCCCACTAAGGGACCCCACCCTCATGGACTTATCTAACCCTAATCACCCACCAAAGGTGCCATCTCCTAATACCATTACACTGGGGGTCTAGGTTTCAACGTATGAGTTGAGGGGGGCATGATGTGTATGAAGGATAGTCTGAGATATGAGCAACACGTGGAATGGGATAGGGAAATGTAGGTGTTCTATTATGTCCCCAGGCATTCAGATGTACAGAGATTAAGCAGCACCCTTGGGAAAATATCTCTGTAAGAAGGAATGTCATAGGGGCCAGCAGGTGTGGTGGTTGTTGAGGCACTGGACTCCCACATGGCTGACTGCAGTTCCAGTCACAGACCTGGTGGCTTCTTTTCTCTTTTTTTTTTTTTTTTTTTTTTTTTTTGGGGTGGTTTTTCTTTTTTTTTTTTTTTTTTTTTTTTTTTTTGTATAGGGCGCGTGCACTCGCCAAACAGACAGAGAGAGACAGAGAGACAGAAATTGAGAAATCACCCCCCAGGGGGGATGGCCACACCACAATCCCTTC